CCCCCCCCCTTCCCACCCACACACCTTGGTGCTGAATTCAGCTCTTGAGACGGTGCATTTTGAATTTTATTTCTAGTGAATCATTCTTTTCAGAGCAACTAAATCACATAAATTATATCATTCATGCTATTTTGGAAGAGAAAAGAAAAATGATTAAGATTCAACATATCGTCAGTTTGATGATCGCGATTATGACGAAGAGTGCTTTATTTTGTTTTGAAGTCAAGTGTATTGCTATGGTAAGAAAGTTTTTGTTTTGTTTGTTGAAATCATCAATGTGAGCAGTTTCTACGAGAAGAACCATAATGTCTCTCGTTTGTGATGATTTAGGTCTTCAGCAAGATTACGGTAGGTCAAGAACAAATAAAATATTACAAACCAGAGAGAAGACATGGGCAACAAGATCATTCATGATAAGTTATATCGAACCAGGTTTGTGAACATATCCGGATTAAGTGAAGTGTAAGTTTAGAAGTTTCAGTTATGGCATACATAAAGATAAATTTGTCGCCAATCCATTTGATTTACAGCTGTCTAATTTGCAGTTTTGTAAATTGTGTGCGATTTGTAATCTAATATTGATCCACTGTTTTCCGGAACGTAAACAAATGTAAATAGTTTATCTGTGAGAAATGAACTATCCATCTGAAGGCAGTCGTATAGAAGAATTTTGCACCCGCATAAAGAATTTTTCAGTCGTATATTATTTAGTAAATATACTTTGCTACTCTATTTTCCAATTGCTATGAATACCTGCTACCTGATAGTTTTGATCGCAGCTCATAATATCAAATAATCTAATAATACAAGCATAATAAACGGTTAAAATTGCAGTATCAACATTCGCTTGTGAATTTTGCACAGAAACGTTTAAGTTCGCAAACGATGTTTACTAGTTGAGTTGTTTGCTGGATATTTTTAGGTATAATAACATGTGGGGTATATTTAGATGTTATTATGATTTTATATATCCAATATAGAAAAATTGGCAGCCTGATATAATGAACCAGTCCTCATTGCATACTGGCGAGACTCGAAACTTATGCTGTTCTTG